ATATTTCAAGGGTTCCTCTGCTTTTAAAAGGTTGAGAAAGGCTGACAGCTGTGCATGATTAGAAAAGTTTATTTTGTTTTGGCCAGCTTGCCCAGCCGTAGTATTCCTGGATTTAGGCTTTAATGGGGTTGTAAACCTCAGGCATGAAATATGAACAATGCATATCCCTCTATAGTGTGTACTTGTCTAAATTCAGAGCACTAAGTGTCATTTCTGTGTACTGCTTCGTTCCTCTAATATCAGCAAAGTCACTTCTGACAATTTTTCCTGACACCAAGAGAAAAATGGTGACAGGGGAGGGAGCTCCAGCAGATTGACAGTCTCAGCTCTGTTTCAGTCTGTGATCTGTGTGAAGGAGGGGGGGGTGTCCCTTCCCTCCAATCAGCTCTCAGAGCTCCCCTCACTGAGCTCTGCAGAGTGTAATTTCAGCTCTCCTCCCCCTTTTTTCTGAACTCTCAGACAAGCGTTATAAATTCATCACTTTGAATGGATGTAGAGAAGAGAGGGCTGCAGATAAACAGGTACAACCTATGTAAGAGGATGTGTTTCAAATCTGTTTATCATATCAGTCACTTCACTGAGTATATGTAAGGGTTTACAACCACTTTAGGGCTCCTTGCACATGGCACTGATATTTACACTGGAGCTTGCTTGCAGAAAGTTCCTGAGTAAAAAGTGTGTGTATGGTCTGTATAGTGTTTGCGTTTAGACACCTAAACACCCTATGCATATATGTGCATAAAAGTTCCAGAATGCTTCTGGAGGGTTTGATTTACTTGTTTACAGACATAAAATACTGACCAGTACCTCAGATTTTTGTATTTTATTTTACTGATCTGCTTTAAACCCAATGCAGCAACTTGGAAAAGCAGTAAATAGCTCTGGAAAAGTGTGAATTATAGATGGGACATACAGTATACAGAGCCACAGAACAAAGATAGCAGCAATTGCTGGCAAATTTCCTTCAGCAATAGCTCACCAACATAGTACAGAGAACTGCTCCATTATGGCATGGCCTTACAATGCCCACACAGCTACTTAAAAATGCTGCATTTGGGGGATCCAGCAGAGTGCAGACCTCATTGTGGAGTAAATTTGCAGTGCATAGTGAGGAGGGAATGGCAATATCTACTTTCCATTTTAAATCAGCCCCTTAGCTTTCTTTGATTAGATTTTTCATTTCTTTAGCATTCATGCACAAAATAACTTACATTTCAGTATCCACAAACCTTGCCTTGCTTTCTCATAATTTGATCCCACCAGAATGCCCAATCTCAGTCTGTTTTGTGCCCGTACACTCTGTACCACTCTGTACCAACAGCCTCTTATCCATTTATTTACCTCTTACTACTTTGTTTTTTTTTTTTTCTCTTAAAGTACAACTATAGGAAAAACTTTTTTTTGCTCATTTTGGATAGAGTATGGCTAGGTTCACATATGTGCGGGTGGTGCTGCTGCAGATCCGCACAAAAATCTGTGCAGCCACACCACCCACACAGAAGAATGTGGACCCGTGGGCGGGTGCCATTAATTCTAATGGCACGCTGCCCGCACTGGAAATTGCAACCGTACTGGGAACCGAGGTTCCTCTGCGGGCTGCTTTTTCCGAAGAAGTGCAGGGACTTCTTCCCTGCGTGTCCCGGGGCATGGGAGTCCATTCAAATGATTGGGCTCTTGTGCCCGCGCAAAACGCAACCCACACAGCCGCAGATATGTGAACCAGGGGTAAGGGAAGATTCCATTTGGGAGTGTCCCATTAGGTAGATTTATCTTCACTTTCTGTCCCATAGCCAAAAAAGGAAGGGAGAAGAAATTAGGGGAATCTGTTGGGGCTCCCCAGGGCACCAGAACTAGTGTCCCCATTGTAATATTTCCCCTCTTACATTTCTGGGGGCAACCCAAAATTTGCTGTTTTCTTTTACTTTCACCTTCAATCTTAATGGTAAATAGGACAAATAGAGAGGGTGACTCCCCCTAATGGGAACACAGGCAGCAATAAAAACTGACAGGTGTTCTAATCACTCTCCACCAGGGGCGGACTGACCATTCGAGCATTCGGGCACTGCCCGAGGGCCTGGGGTCAGTAGGGGGCCCCATGAAATGCCCCTGGTACCTTTTTTATAGGCTCTTTTGAGTGTGGGCAAGGACACAGGGGCCCCATGGTCCTCTATTGCCCGGGGGGCCCCATGAGTTGTCAGTCCGCCCCTGCTCTCCACTATATCCAAAACAAAAAAGTTTTGCCTTTAGCCGCTTGCCCGCCACCCTATAGTAAAAGTTATACTACAAGGCGGCAGGGATGCGCAAAATCACGTATATATTCATGATTTGTATTTCCGGGTAAGGGGCCATTGACAGAGATGTCAATCATCGGGTCCCGGCAGGAGAATCCCTGCTGGCACCTGGAGATCATCAGGGTAAGCTGACAAGGGAGAGACCTGTGTGTAATCAATACAGGTCTCTCGCCTGTCAGCCAGGACATGCTGCTGTGTATTTCTCTGCACAGTGGAGAAATACAAAGCAGCATGGCTCCGTAGTAAAACAGCACACACAGTAAAACACACATAGCACACAGTTATCCCTTTGATTACCCCAGATGTTAACCCCTTTCTGCCCAGTGTAATTAGTACAGTGTCAGTGCTTTTTATTAGCACTGATCACTGTGTTAGTGTCATTGGGGATGTCAGTGGCTGTTAGTTCCCACCCAGTGTCAGAATGCCAGTCGCATTACCGCTATAAGTCGGTGATTACCACCATTACTAGTATAAAAAAAATAAAAATAAAAAAATTCCAGTATATATACCGCCTTTTGTAGACACTATAACTTTCATGTAAACCAATTAATTTACATATATTTGGATTCTTTTCAGCAAAAACATGTAGCAGAATACATTTTGGCTTACATTTATGAGGAAATTAGATTTTTTAAATTTTTTATTGGATGTGTTTTATAGCAAAAAGTCAAAAATATTGTTTTTTTTAAAATTGTCGGTCGTTTTTTGTTTATAGCGCAAAAAATAAAAACCGCAGAGGTGATCAAATACCACCAAAAGAAAGCTCTATTTGTGGGAAAAAAGGACATAAATTTGATGTATGTACAGCATTGCATGACCGCGCAATTGTCAGTGAAAGTAACGCAGTGCCGTATTGCAAAAAATAGCCTGGTTAGGAAGGGGGGTAAATCCTCTGGAGTGCAAGTGGTTAAATTTTAAGCGTTATCTGACTCCCCTTCTCTACTTGTGCCTCTCATTACTTACAAGGCGTGTACCTAGAGCTGCATTCCCACATACAAGGCAAGTTCCTACTCCTCCTGCCTTGCCTATTGGTCCACCTCCCTGTATGTCACCAGGCAAAAGTCAAAATCATAATGCTCTGATAAGCAATGACTTGTTGAACTATACATGGACCACCATTAGTTTAGAGACATTTGTGTAAATGTGTACATTGGTGGTCAGTGTAAATGCCCCTTTTATACTGGTTGTCTGAGCAAATTCCCCTGTTAGAAAGGTGGTCAGCGTAAATGACCCCGCTACACTGGTGTTCAGTGCAAATGCCCCCGTTACACTGGTGGTCTGTGTAAATTGCCTTGTTACATTGGTTGTCAATGTAAATGCCCTGGTTACAATGGTTGTCAATGTAAATGCCCTGGTTACATTGGTTGTCAATGTAAATGCCCTGGTTACAATGGTTGTCAATGTAAATGCCCTGGTTATATTGGTGGTCAATGTAAATGAGGAGCTTTTATTGGAGTACTGAAGCTCCTAAATAGCGTTGCAAGGGCTGCATATTGGGGAGCACTGTTGGTGGCTGTAAAAAAATAGTAGGCTGCATATTGGTGGAGTTGTTGGGAATAAACACTCCCACGTCCGGCTCAGTTCGCTGCGGCAAAGTGAGCCAGAAGTCCGGCCCCCTCCTTCCTCCCGCAGTCTCCTGGAAACGTTTACAGGTCCCAGGAGACTGCCTGACCAATTAGGAGGCGCAGCGCGACTCGCGCATGCACAGTGGGCACCAGGCTGTGAAGCCGCAAGCTGTCACAACCTGGTGCCCACAGTTGAGATGCCGGCGCCATGGAGGAGAGAAGGGGAGAAGGGACGGCGCAGGTGAGAACATTGCTGGTCCCTGGGACAGATAAGTGTGTGTGCTTATTAAAAGTCAGCAGCTACAATTTTTGTAGCTACTGCCTTTTAATAAACTCTAAAACGGCTGCAACTCCACTTTAATGTATTCATGAAGCATCCACAACACTTTCAGTTCTAACAGTGACTCGTGCACTAAATTCAGGTTGTTTTAAAATGCGCCACTTATACAATGCAGTGCATTGAATGCACCAAATTAAATATAAAATACCGACAGTGTGTATCTTACAAAAGTGGAGTTACTTAGGACCAATTCTCTTTTGGCATACAGAGAGAAACTGGCGCTGACAGATTTTGCATTCTAAAAGTGGAGCAGCATGTGCCAAATTCAAGTTCAAGCTGTATTCAGATACACGAATTTGGCGCATGCTTCTCCACTTTAAGAACACACAAAGACACTTTGCAAAATTGCTCTGCACCAGTCTTCACGAATTCCAGAGTGTGTTTTAGTGTGATATAATTTGCTGTTGTTGGCTGATCTGCTATTGCAGTGTGATGTGGAATGCTTATGTGATATGTCATATTTTGTCACATGATTTTTTTTTGCACTGAAATGGTAATTTTCCCATACATGGTTTTTTATCTTACCAAGAAAGCTCAATTTTACAAACAATAATTCATGTCTTATTTACCGTTATGGTGGTTATTTTTTGACACATGGTTGTTAGTTTCAGCTCTCAGTGGTCCTCATAACTTCAAATAGAAATTGCTATAGCTTAGTGTGGGGGACCTGAACATAACGTTTGCACAGGGCCTACTTGTTGACTTCCACCACTGCTTGGGTGCCTTGTATTGCTGGACCCTATAAGAGCTGCATATGCTGCAATAGATTTTGTTGTGCCTTTGTATGTGAAGTCTTGATCTTACCGGTTAATTGGCAGAACATGTTCTTCAGGTTTGGCTTCAAACCATGGGCTCCTGGGTGGCTCTGCATACAACAGTGAGGACTGGCAATGTAAAGTCACCGGGGACATATGATCTGGAGCTGTCCACATTAAACTTGGGCTCATAGTCTGTCTCATGATGGAACTCTCAGAATCACTAGAATTTCCCGGTACATTGTAGTTTATAACAGAAGGGCTGCAGAAAGCTATAGAGGAATAATCATGTCTGTTTTCCATATAGGGAGAAAGGTACACTGGACTCTGGTCTACTGCCATGAGATTCTGATTGGCACTGTACTCGGGAGATGCCAAGGTGGCAGGAGCATTTTTGATGTCGCCCTTCACATGTCCACTATGCTGCATGGGCTGCAACTGACAGAATTCCTTGTGCATGTATGCTGACATGTTGATTGGAGATTAAATCCTGTCTCTCAAAAGGTCATTGTTTCCAGTTCACTAGGATAGAAGACAGATTGTGTTAAGAGATGTGCGGGATTCAAACAAAAAAAAGAAAACATACATTCATACATACTCACCTATGTAGATATGGATCCAAAGCTGCATCTGTTGCCTTTATGCCAAGAACTGAGCGACCAAAGACCAATGATTGCTCAGTTCTCAGGTCTGCTCTGAGCACACAGCAGTGACTGAGCGAACCGCTGGTCAGGGATCTGGGTGGATCCCGACATTATTGTCAGGATCCCTGCAGAGCCTGGGCCAACCCAGTGATGTCAGCCAACAGTGGACTTTAGCCCGCTGTCGGCTGAATCTGGGTGACAGGAGTGTAGAATTAGGTACACTCCTGTGACCCACAGTAAAAGTATGGCCAAAAGAGCTTTGGCCATACTTCTCCTTTAATAGAATAAAATTCTTACATATAAAACCCCTTATAATGACCACTGTAGGTGAGCAGACCTGGGAAACCTAGTTATCCAGGTACCAGAATCCAAGAGAAAAATAAGAGATAGGTCAATACTTTGTGTGTGTGGGGGGGGGGGGGGGGGGTTTACCACAAATTGTAACCCCAGAGAGAGAGGCTTTAAAGCTGAACTCCAGGCAAACAGCTAAATACACAGATGGGATCAGTTCTACCTGTTAAAGGATTTGGACTTTTTCCATCCAGTTCTGATATTTAGTGGCCACATTCAAGCGGTAGAGAGAGACAGAGGCTGAAAAACATAATTTACCCACTCTGCATAGGTACATCTAAAATTAGGCTAGGGTCACACTTGAGCAAGTTGGTAGCCCACGTTTGCACAGGTACGGCAGCCCCTTAATTTGAAATTTCTGCACCATTTTAAAAACGCAGCCACACCATGTGATTTCCCTGCGGTTCCCGCGAACACGCTATGGGTTTAGATGTGTGGGGGTGCCATTAAGAATCATTGGCAGCCCCACATGTCTCTGTAGAGCAGCGCAATTTGGCTGTGGGTCGTTGTGGGTGCGGGAACATCTGCAATTCCCATTGCCACAACCACCTGCTCAAGTGGGAACCTAACCTAAAAATGACTAAAAGATAAGGAAAACTGTCACCCTACAGACATTTGGATCCAGAATAGAGAAATAATAAGTACACAGTACAGAGGATTATTCTACGAACAAAAAAAACAAAGTATGCTGGGACATCAATGAGGACTGCACTGGAATGTGTGGCAGACGTTTGGAACCTTTCTACACAGAAATTCTGGAATGTATGATAGTCAGGATCATGATGTGGTAGCCCTGCCACCCTGTCTGGTCTATGCAGAAATCCAGCCCTGCCTAAAGGATCACTATAATGAAAAAATGTTTTATTGTGGTAACTGTATGTGTATAATTACTGAATTTATATTATGAATTACTTTTTTATTCCACAGACCTTTAGTTATAGTTTTCTCCACATTTGCATGCTTTTATTCTTATGGTTTGAACCTGAAAGTCCACCAAAAGCTAAAAGTCCATCAAAGACTACTTTGTCCACAGGGTGACAACACTGCCTTTATTTCGCTGCAGAAGGTCGGCGTTTTCACCCTATTACAAGACGTGAAAAATCAAGAGATCTCTTGTTATGGTGAAAAGGTAATAAAACTATGTATGTTATTGGAGGGACTAAAAAAAACAAAAAAACTGCTGAGTTATTGCTAGTGACAGACTGTATCATATCATGTTATTTTTTTAGTTTAAACTTCAAACATTTCCAAAGTATTTGTTGTGGCCTCATTGTCATTGAATGTACAATACTACTAACTGCTTGTCATATTTTTGTGTTCTAGATACAGATCAACAAACTTTTTTTACATCTGACTATTCTTTCAAACATTTTGACAACACAGGGGAAGGGGATTCAAGGAATTGAGCACAGCATGGCTCACAAATAGGTATGGATGTAGGCTCAGAAGGGGCTTGGGAGATCTCAGTTGTGTTCCTACAGTGCCTGTGTTAATGTTCAGTTTGTAATGCCTTTTCTGAGATAAACACAGAATATTTATAAAAAGAAAATCAACTGCTCTTGGAGAGCTTTTATTTTAAATAAATGTGTCCCCGTTTTCAAAAGCTAACTTGACTTGATTGCCTAGTTTGTGGTGCCAATAAAATAGATTAGCTGATTTGCAAATAACCAGAGATGTGTGAGGTTAGAAAAACTAGAATAATCAAATGTTTCAGAACACTTGTGCATAATTTTTTTGTCCTTTACTGCAGTTTTAGATTGCAGCTTATAGTTTTCTAGTCATAGGAACTTTATTGAATCCTGTATGATAATAATTTGAAATTCAGAGGATGGCATTTGCTAGGTAGGTGCACTGTGGTGGAGCAGCAGTTATCACACAGAGGCCCAGCGTGCAGTAAACAGTGTAAATAGTTCAACAGCACAGAGGGGAGCTCACCCAATTGGAAACTTACAGTCAATGCAGTGGAGAGTCAGTGGTAGTAGGCCCAAACTGAAGACAGCGCTTGTTAAGGGAGGTGAAGTGCAGCCTGGCTGGACCCACCCAAGAGGGAGCTTTCGGAAGTGCAGATGTAGACCCTATTCTTTCCCTACTCCTCTGGATCCTCTCCCTAGCACTAGTGCTGTCCTTGACAGATAGGTATACTTTCCTTACACTACTTACTTTGCAAATGTACGACAAAACTTAGAGGTAGGGACTTAAAATGTCTCTGTGTGACCCAAGATGGCCTCCAAGGTCACTTGGATGCAGGGCAGCCAACCGGAATGATGCTCCAGGGAACCAAGAAAACCATAGATAAATCAATATTCCCTAGACTTGCCCTTAAGCTGCAGTACCACTTCAGACAAGCGCCACCTACGCTGGAGAAAGTAGACATGCACCTGCCTACACATTGACCCAATCAAAGTTAACATACAACTTCCAAACTGCAGTTCTGAAAGAAACCAAACATTTGATAGGCTACGAATAGCACCAAGGATACTTTGTCTCTAAGCATTTATATGGACGGCTACAGAAGAGGGGGGTTTGGGTATACCTAAACTTGACTACCAATATTGTAGCAATTATTCTGAGCAGACTGAATAATTGCTATCAATTATTCAGTCTGACATTCTATGAACGTCTTGGTGACCCATGGAGTTACATCTTGTGACATCCTGTTTTGGTAGGTATGAAAACACCACCATAATTAATTTTCAAACTTATGGGCCTGTTGGGGGTCTCTTGGTCAATGATTGTGTTTCCTGTTTAGACTTTGCTCTGTGGGACCCTGCCTATTGATCTTTCTGGGTGTTTGAAGCACTGGGATTGGTGCATATCCATCATTTATAGGATCCTTAAAGTTAATATTCATCACACGCTGATTCTGGTAGGTAACCAATGTAGTTCTTTATGATGTTGCTATTGTATTTTCAGTATAGGGTCCTCTATTAGTTTCCACAGTATTACTACTATATCTCCTTTTGTTAAGGCTTGTAGCCTCTACCCTTTGTGCCAACTGGCTGGGTTTATCCTCCTTGCATTTTACCCGATTCCATTGGAGGTCTGCCATATAGGACATGCATCTTTCTATGTGTGCTTTTTTGGGGTATGCATAAGTGGCCTATGGTATATGAATGGCCTTATTGTTTATGTTTAAATGTGGTGTTTATCCATATGTGTGTTTTCATCTTAGACCATTATCTTTCTCCTGATGAAGGCTCGTTAAGAGCTGAAATCCAGCTGAAAACCTCTCAACAGATGGAACACAATCGACTCATCTATGTACCGTAGTTATAATATACTTCAAACTGGTCCATTATAAATGTTATGTATAATTTGTAATCTTGTCCAATAAATGTTGTACCTTTTTATCTTAATGGTGTTGTTTGGTACCTAGAGAGTCCCACCCTTCACTTCCTTTTTTCTTTGGTACAGTTTTTGGGATGTGGTCGCTATTTATTACTGATAGTCATAGACTTGGCAAAATTTCATATTTTGAACTTAAGGGGAACAATAAGACAACCTCTAGTGAAGTCAAGAATTAGTAATCACTCACCAAACCATCTAACTTGGGTTTGTGAAAATATATTGAACTAGGAGTAGGGATGAGCGAAACTAAGCAAATTGTGAGATTTTATCAAAATTTTGCCATAATGCATTGGAATAAATTGGCAAGGCTAAACCAAGAGTGTTTTTGGTGGTTTTCATTGGGCTTTAAATGGCTCCTGAGGGTTACAAAAGCCCATTGAATCTATCCAGGACCTGTTCTTGAGCTTTCATTATTTTACAGAATGAAAAAAACACTTAGCAAAAAAGTAAAATAAAAAGGTGAAAGTACACACATAATAATCAAAGGCTAAAAGAAAAAACACAAATCCACTAGAATGAAAAAAACTAAACTACTCTAAATACACCATCCAGCCAAAAAAAAAAAAGCAAAAACAAAAATACACACTCTATATAAGGAAAGACATTGTTTTTCCCAAGCAAATTCTACCCAAGCAGCTCAATGACCGATAATGAGAATTTTCTCTTTTGGGGGGGTATTGCCAATAGAGAAATCAATGTCCCCAAAATTACTCAGCCCTAAGCAGGAGAATAGACTCTGGGCAGTGCCATACAGGAGAACTGTACAAGATAAGATAACACTCCAAATCCCTAACGCAGCACGCTGGAACACTTACCTGCACAGACTGTAGCTGCTTTGGTCCAGGGAGTGCAGACTGCAATTACAATACTGGTAATCCTGTTCCAGGTTAACAGGATGTCAGTTAAAGATTACCCACTAGCCACTACTGATATACTAGCAGCTTGTATTAGGTTTTCATTTTAAACTGGTTTCTTAAATCCCAATTGAATGACTTCAAAATCCCCTTTTCACATTATAAAAATGATCCTTCTTCTAGTCAATAGCTTCTACAAATTTCAGAACTGATTGAATTAATAATAATAATAATAATAATTATTTATTATTATTATTAAAAGCATACAAGTCTA